TCGGCCCGCCCTCCTTCCCTCGGCCCGCCCGCTCGCTCGCCTTTCTGCCCGGCTCCGCTCCGAGGAGGCGTGTTCCGCGCCTGCCTGTCTCCTTCCCCCACCTTTCTGACGTGACACATGCGTGTTTCCGGGTTATAAAAGGAAGAATGGTGACGCCGGCCTCCCCTTAGCTTTTCTCCCCCCCCCCACTTCCAGGAACTCTTTCTCCCGGGGTGATTGGAAGGGGGCCTACTACAACTCCCATCATCCCCAGACCACGGGGCGGGGGGGGAAGCTGGGAGTTGTAGTGCCCAGAGATCCCTTTCTCTTCTCCTGCCCTTCCGCCCACCAGCTGTTCCCAAACCCACCCCATTGAGACCGAGGTTCCCTAGGCGGAGATTCAACCGGGCGAGCAGATGGGCTTTGTTTCCTCTTTGAAGGGGCTTCCTTCCTCCCGGTTGAATTCCGGCCTGGGTTGTTCTCCCAGGGAAGGAAGGAAGGCCAAGGGCGAGGAGATCCATGAAAAGCAAGCAATAAAAAAAATCCCCAAAGGGAGCAGGTGGGCCAAGGGAGCAGGATGCAAGGGAGAAAAAAAAGCCAGGACAGAGGTTGGGCTGGAGCAGCTTCTTGGGGGAAAAATAAATAAATAAAAATGAATATGCCAAAAAAAAAAAAATTAAAGAAGGGAACGAAGGAAAGAAAGAAAGAAAGAAAAGAGGAAGGAAACCAGGCGAGCGTGTGTCTCTTGCACCATGTTCTTTATGCTTGGTTCCCCAGAATTGCACTGGTTGGTCTGGCCAGGAAGATGACGGGAAATCTGATTTATTACAGCATGTTGAGAGTGGAAAGGAGAATAAAGACTGAGGCGTCGTAAAACGCCTCCGGTGCTCTTGTAGGAGGTGGAAATTAGAGGCACGGATTGTTACAGCCGATCATCCAAGGCAGAAGAAAGAAGTGCAGGGATTTTAAAAAAAGAACTTTTTCGCTGAAGGAACATGGAGATGGCAGGAGAGGCATAAGAACAAGGTGATGGGGGGCCCCTTTCTCCCACCCACCTCCCATCGTTAGCCTGTCCATATAAACAATTTGGGCCAGCCCTATACCTTTCATGGAAGGGAAATAAAATGAGGCAGTTATGTATTGACATTTTGCTCCCCGAGGCAATTTGTTCTTCTGTCCCATCAGGAAGCATCTGAGTTTAGGGTCACCCTAACAGGGCTTTTAAGGCAAATATTTAAGGAACGTTTTTGCCACTTCCACACCCACCCACCCACGGGGATTCGAACTCAAGCCTCCTGCGGTGTCGGCATCCAGCACGCTCTGTGCCTGCTCTTGTGTTGGACCTCTAGCGGTGCGAATAAAAAGTCAACTTTTAAAGTCCAGAGTAGACCTATTGAAATCAACAGGATTGATAATGAGAGCTGAATGAGTGTTTGTTTAACATATGTTTACCCCACCTTTCTCCTTAAAAAGGACCTGAGCGCGGCCACCACCACCTCGATCCATTGGATTCATGCCTATTAATTTTCTTCTCTTCCAGCGTCTGGCTTCTACCGACTCTGCCTCGGTCCCCAAAGCTACCCTCCTCTACTCCCTCGCAGGCCAGCTCCAAGGAACTGCCTTCTCCTGACACTCTCAAGCAAACCAGGATTTGAACCCTTTTCTCTGCAACAGCAAACCATGATGCAGGACCATCAATGTGAGAGTTTTGCTCCGGAAGGTCTTTAACTCTGCTCCGCTCTCTGCTTTCAAAGTCATCTGTTAAAGTTTAAAAGACTTTGGAAGTGGAGACTTGCCAAAAAAAAAAAAATTACACAAGAGAGTTTTCTCCTTAATTCTTTTTAACTCCATCCACAACACAATGGGACTTAAATTTATTTTATTCGTTTTAATTTACATCACCCTTTTGGCTCCCTCTCTCTCCCCCCCCCTTCATTCGCCACAGCTCAACTTTGGAGTAAGGCTCTTTCCCTTAACAATCATTCTCGAATAACAAAAAGTGCTACCTTTTTGGCATGAGTTGGAAGCATCATCTAAAGACTAATGAGAGAAACTCCCATATTTAAATACTCGTATGCAGATGTCGTCTGTTGTCGCTGCTTCTCAAAGCCACACATTACTGAGGCAAAACAACCCAACAATGATCTGCATAGAAAACACATATTAAAAAGCACAGCGAACGGTGTAGATCCCTTAAGAAGACAATGTCCCAAATCCACAGAAGGGCATCATCTTTTCCAGGACCATCTGAAAAGTCACAGTGTCAGCTTTTGAGGTCCCCCCCCTGAAAACGGAGGTTTTGGAGCAGCTGTGTACATAGTAGCCATTGGATGGTTTTATGTGGATTTTATGTGGGTATCCGTTTTGGTAACGAACACAACATGCCGTAAGCATGGAACTTTCCCAAATTCTGGTTTTGATCCTATTGCGAAATCAGGACCGACTCAGTAAAGGTGGGCATTCACAGATGGAGACGTGAAACATAAATATCAGCGAGGAGCCCAGAAAGTCCCTCAATAGTTAGGTACAATAGGGTAGCTGGGCTGAAAACCCGCTCAAGCCATCTGGATCTCCATCTGAGAGGCGGACCTGGATTTCCTCTTGGATAAAGACAGGACAAAGTCCTCCCCGAAGGCGCCTTCAAAAGACGAAACCAGGGACTTGCGGAATTTCTTCTGCCCTACAAACACGTACAGGATGGGGTTGATGCAGCTGTTGAAAAATGCCAGGCTGGAGGCCAGAGGGATCCCCAAGTAGAGGACCATTTTGAGGTGGTGATTGGCGGACATTTTCAACATCTCCAGCAAGGAGAAAACGTGGTAGGGGAAATAGCAGAGGAAAAACGACACAGTGACGGCAATAATGATTCGGAATGGTTTGGAAGACTTGGTCAGGCGCCGGCTTTTCATCCGGAACGCCACCACGCCGTGGCAAATGACGATGACGGTGAAGGGCAAGACAAACCCAAAGAGAAATCTGGTGACGACCATCGCTTTGTGCCTTGCCCTCCACAACATCCGTGTCTTCTCGATGTCGTAACTGTCAGAGAGGGCAAAGTTGTTGTAGCAGCTGGTGACGTTCCTGGAGTTCATGGCTGTGTCTCGGAAAACGAGATACGGGGAGCTGAGGATGAAGGCCGCGAACCAGGCTACCAGGGTGATGCCGCAGGCCAGCTTTTTGGTCCGGTAGTTTCTGGACCACACCGGGTAGGTCACCGAGACGCACCGATCCATGCTGATGATGGTCAAGAGGAAGACGCTGGCGAACATGTTGAGGAAGGCCATGGTGCTGTTCAGCTTGCACAGAAGTCTCCCGAAGGGCCAGTGGAAGCCCAAGGCAGTGTAAACGATGCTCAGGGGCAGGAAAAAGGTGAAGACAAAATCGGCAACGGCCAAGTTGAGGAACCACACCACGTTCACTGTCTTCTTCATCTTGAAGCCCGCAATCCAGATGACGAAACCATTGCCCGCGACTCCTAGGACGCACGCGATGCCGTAAATCACGATGGACAGGAGGTGCATGCTTTTCTGAAGGCTCGTATATGGAGAGGTGGCGTTCTCGTGCAAGACGGTGAAATTAGCCCAGAACGACGGCAAAGAGGTGTTCTCCATCCCCAAGCGAAGGGATTCGTTCACTCGGCTCCTGAAATCTTACAAACGCCACCCAAATCTTGTTAAGATTAAATGAAATGACTGAAGGAAGTAAAAGCAGTTTAGAGAAGGACGTCTGAGGAAGAAGCTTCTGCACTCGTGATCAAAAACATTCATCCTTCTAACTGGATCCAGAATTTAGTTTGCTTGCTAACACAAGAGGGTTACTCAAACCGAGTCACCGTTTCCCCCAACTTGCCTAAAACAGTGCAGAACTGTGACTGCTTGGATGTATGGAATTTGGGTATTTGATCCTATATGTTTTATATAATAATTAAATAATTACTCCCCCTGTTTTTAAGCTGACAGTTGTAACTCTGATCCTCAATCATGGAGATTTATATATTATTTTCAACACAGTTTGTACTCCATTTTTTTACAGAGAAGTGAATGAGTTCAATGACACTTATTTTATTTATTTATTTAAAATATTTTCACCCCGCCTTTCTCCTAAAAAAGGACCCAAGGTGGCTTATTATAATGGCTTAAGCATCTGACTGCAGAGGTTGGGAGTCCGATTCTCCCCCCCCCTCCCAAAGTGGCCTTGACAGGGGTCTGTAGTTCTAAGATGATTATTGTCATTATTATTATAAAAACAACAGTGAAAGCTGAACAGTGAATTAAAATATTGTTGCTTGGCAAAAACAAACATAATCGCAGTCTGCTATTGTGGCCTGATAGTTTTAAAGTATTTCTATTACAGGAAACAGCTGCAAGAAGCGAAAATGGTTGGATAGATTATTAGTAGAAACTGATAGATTGCCACTTAAAGGAAGATGGGTTTGCCCCATCTTTGCAGCCTTTAGTGGCTGATGAAAAAGATATTCAAAGCTCGACTTTTCTTTCTCGGTTGCTGTTTACATTACTGTTTATTTGGGGTGCAGGGAAGAGAAACTCACCCTTTTTTCCCCTCTTTGCTTCGCCCACCGAGGTCCTTACGAGATCCAGTTGAGTGCTGTCAACGCACACCTTGTGCAGCAGAAATTCAACACGCTGTCCTTCTCGGTGGTGACTCACTTTGGCCTGAAGTTTTCTTCCTTCTTCTTTCCATGTGTCTGAGTTTAGGGGGATTTTGACGATCTCATTAATTCCAGCCTCTCCTTCCTCAGTGGGTTATTCATGGAATTGAATGGTTTGGCCCATGATGGGGGGCAAAACATCTTTAGAAGACGCAGACATTGTCTTACGATGTTGCTCTTCTATGCCACCAAGTCCTTCCTCAAAGTAACCCTCATAGGGGTTTCCGAGTATCTGAGATGTTTGAGGAGTGTTTTCCCATCACCACCACCTCCGGTGAGTTTCTATGGCCAAGTAAGGATTTGAACTCATGTCTCCAGAGTCCTAATTTATCTACTGCATCAACCAGGCTTAGGACACCAAATGTGTTCGTTCAGAAAGGAGTCCCAGTGAGCTGAGAATCTGGGTCTCCTTACTAAAGATGCATAATCTTGGCCCTGCCACATTTCTGCCTTTCCACTTTTGTCCAAGGCGAGGAGTGTGTGTGTGTGTGTGTGTGTGTGTGTGTGTGTGTGTGTGTGTGTGTGTGTGTGTGTGTTAAAGAAGCACATGTTAGTTTGCACAATTCATGCGCAGAATGCGTACCACAATAAAATTGTGTCATTTTCTGTGTGTGCATTAAAAGAATATAGGTAGGATACAAGAGGCAGTAATGTCAAGGTTGCATATTTAGATTTACTTATAATTGTTATATACTGTATATAATTTATATTTATAGGACCATGACAGTAAGCATTCGTCATCTATAGAAACAAAATATGCCCTGTCACTTGCTGCTGTTCTCGATTTATTTTTGTGTGTTTTTCAGTTTAAAGCATTCCTGTTTTCACTTGAATTTTTAGCAGAATGTACGTCTTGATTTTAACTTTCTTAAGAACCTTTCTTCAGATAGAAAAATGGGGCATAAATCCAAACAAGCCCTTCTCCAGTCTGGCAACTTTTAGTTGTGTCAAACTACAACTCCCATCATCGTCACCTCAAGCCCTGGTGGCTGGGGATGATGGGGTTTGTCGTGAGCATCTCTTGTTTGCCTGGGAAATTTTGTTACAAATCGGTAACATTGATGCACCAATTGTTTGGACTGGAATTCCTAGGATAGCCCAGTCAGCTGGTCCTCTTGCCATGCTGGGTAAGAAGGGGTCTGGCAGGGGCCGTGCTGGTTAGGGGATTATAGCAACTGTAGTCCAACCCCCCCAATCCAGGAACACCAGTACCCCAAAGTAACTTTTTAAAGTTTTGGGGAAGGCAAAAATCCTCTGTACGTGCTCAGAGATACAAAGCTTTATCTGCCCAAACTTTGGGCAGCCCCACCCGGGCATAACCGGGAGCGAAGCACCTCTTCACCCAAAATCAGCCTCAGCCGACGCGTGTTCACAAAGGCGTGCGAAGATGGCACACCCGCGCCCAACACGCATGAAGAAATGCCCGGTGGCCCTCAGCCAATGGCGCGCCCGGGAGGAGAGGGAGGCCCGGGTCTCCCTCCTTCCCATTGGCCGCGGCGGCAGGCGGTAGAATTCCGCGCAGCGCGCCGATTGGCTGCGACGCGGGGCAGAAAGTGCTGAACGTTCCATTCCCGGGGCGCTCCTGGGCTGGAGGGATTTAAGCCCCCGAGCGTCTAAATGCAAAGCAAGCGACCTTTGTGTGCAAGGAATCCGAGGCGTGCTAGAAGATCCAGAGAGCCGGTGAGTATTTTTTTTTGGAGGGGGGGAACGGATTACTTCCTCCCCCCCTTTGCAAGACCGGGGTTCGAACCTCCTTTGCCTATGCTTGGTGCCATGCCCCCCCCCGCCTCACGTTCCTTCCGTGCCCTGCACGAGAGGCAGAAATTCAGCCGGTGAAGCCTGCTGCTCCCTTGCATGCCCCAGCGGAAGCCGCCGGGTGCGTCCCCGAGGCACAGGAGCGGAACTCTGGCCAGGGAAATCGAAGCCAAAGGCACGATCGAGGCCACAAAGAGTGCCAGCCTTGTGCAGAGAGGGGGTGTGGTGCAGTTGAGTTTGCTGGAGAGCATCTGCCTGCACAGCTCAGATTTGGAGCAGCCAGTGTGCAGAGTCAGGCCGATCAACCAGAAGTGTAGAATGTGGACGTCTCACGGTGGTGGCGTGCAGGAAACAGCCTGTCTCGGCTCTTCAGGTACACACGTGCACTTGGGAGGCTGTCACTGCGTGTCCTCAAGTAGCTTCTGACTTAGGACGATCCTAACGGTGGTCTTCAGATACGTGGAGTGGTTTCCCGTGGCCACCGCAACCCCCTCCACCACCGCAGGGTCTTCCACAGCCAAACAGAGATTTGAACCCAGGTCTTCGAAGTCCTAGTTTGAGCTGTGCCCAGGAAATTAAACAATATTTCCAAGATGGACTTTTAACTGTTTGATGGTTGCAAACCAGATGATGATGATGATGGGGTTGCCCAATGAACTCTTCACATGGTCTTTCGCTGCCCTTGAGGAGTTAACCATTAACTCGGAATCGCCATTTCTTCCCTGATGGCTTATTTTTAACTCCCCACTTTTAAGACAGACGCAGCTTTGTTCCTGCTGCCCTCTGACAGAGGTGTTACAGCCCAGCAGCTGTGCAACAGCTGAGGTTGCCTTCCCCAGGCTGCCTTGTCCGTTTTTGTTCCGACGAAATCACTTTCTGGGGAGTCCCTGCTCCACAAACACCACAGATCTATTTTGTAGCCCCCATACAGACTTGCTGAGTTGTGTTGATTCCTATGAACGTGTGCAGGGTGCTTCCCATTTCAAGATGGGCAGCCTCAGAAAATGGACCTGGATTCATACACGGGGGGGGGGCAAGGAGAAGGTGAAATGTGTGACAAAAGGTCCTGCTGTTGTGCTAAGAACGAGCAAGACAACACAAGCAAGACGATAGGTTTGCATAATTGTTTTTTTGGCATCCATGTTTTGGGGTTATGCAACTCTTCTCTTGATTTCCCTTATTCAGATCACAAACAACCCATGACTCACTACAGCGACGGCATGAAAGGAATGGGGGCCCCCGTGATCAAGGGCCTCTGGGACTCCCATAACAAGATGGTGATGGAACCGCTGGACACAAACGATCCAGAGGTGAGGCGGCTCTCCTTGGTCAGGCAGCGGTGACGTCAGCGGGGCCGGGAGGGTATCGATTCTGGCAGGCGAAACAGAAGGACCGTTGGCCGGTTGCCTCCCACCGTCAGGATAGTGTTGAAGGGACCTGAGACAACGGACGTTGGGCCGTTGACTTCCTGACGCAACCGAGAGGTTGAATCTCCAGCCACTCATCGGGCGGGCACCAAGTTGGAAAGAGTCAGTGCGGGAGAGGGGTCGATAGCGTAGGGGTAGTGGGTTCAGGTCCCCGCGAAGCCTTGAACGTCACTGGGTGACAGCTGCGTTTGCTCGTCCTGGTCTACCTGACACGGTGGGTTGTGCGTGTAAAAAGAGGTGGAGAGTCTTGGCTGTTGCCTAGAAAATTCCAGAGGGGGGGGGAAAGAGCTGTAAAGATAACTGATAAACAAATACTAAATAAGATGTAACTCCTGCTGTTTTTCTGCCCGTGGTCAAAGGCATCTAATTCAGACGGATTTTTGCCACCTGAGCTGATGCGCCACCTGTTCAAGTCTGATAAATCCTGCTACCATTGACTTATCAATGTGTTTTTATTTGTGATTTCGTAGGATCACTTTTAATATTTCTATTCCAGTGTGGTTATTTTATCTGAACAGCAGGACCCCCTTATCTACGGGACCACTGTCCACTGCCTGAAAATAATAAAGAAAAAAAAATCCCAGAAATAACATATTTATATGTATTTCCAGGGTGTATTTACCAGAACTGGCTATGAGGGGGAGCCAGAGACCATGCAATGCATCGCGTCCAATACTTCCGCATTTTCCATCATCCACAGGGAAGCTTGCAACCAGATACTGCAGATACTGCTCTCCTTCGGTGCTTTATTTTTAGCTGCCTCAAGCGCTATCCTGAGTAGAGAGCTGGTGCATGGATTTAATAAAGAGGTCCACAGCCCGTTTGATAGGATGCCAAGAGATGTAACGAACGGCTGGTTTTATGTTTTCTCTCTCTAAGGTCTATGACATCATCAAGAAGGAGAAGCGCCGGCAAACGCTGGGCTTGGAGCTGATTGCCTCGGAGAACTTCGCCAGCCGAGCCGTCCTGGAAGCCCTCGGCTCCTGCATGAACAACAAATATTCCGAGGGCTACCCGGGCCAAAGGTGGGTGACTGGGAAGGATGGTCTGGAAATCCTTTGGACAGATCCTACCTCTTTTTCGTGTGTTTGTAAGACTGATTTCTATCCCGTGAGTTACTAGTCCCCTTCAGTTTGGCACGGCTTAGGCCTCACCTCGAGTCCTGGCTCCAGTTCTGGACACCACCGTGGAAGAAAGATGCCAGCAAAATGGAGCAAGTTCAGAGGAAGAAAACGAGGAGGATCAGGGGGACTGGAAACCAAGCCCTTGGAAGAAAGGCAGAAAGAACTGGGCATGTTTAGAGAAAAGACAGAGGAAGTGATAGGATAGCACTTTTCAAAGGCCTGAACAGTAGTCACACAGAGAAAGGTCAGGATCTGTTCTTGATCATCCCCATGCTCAAGCGACAGGAAACCAGATCTTGAGGCTGAACAGCAGGAAAAAAAACTTCTTAACGGTTAGAGAAGTACAGCAACGGGAACCATGACCTCAAGGGGAGATGGCGAGGGCTGCAATACTGGAGGCCTTCAAGGGAAAATTGGACGATCACCCGGAAGCCAGCCATCCTCATTGCGCTTCTCAGATGGCTTAGGGCCGTTTTGCAAAGCATGCAGGCTGGCCACTCTCTTCTAGCCAATTCAGTATTATTATTTTTTAAATTCCCTTTAAGGGCATGAACCTTAGGTCAAAGACCTAATGGGATGCCGTGAGGTTGCTATTCTTGCCATGGGCATCAGTAAAAAGAAATCTCTCAAGCTTTAAGACCAGTTTGTTCATTCCAAAATTTATCTGTACTGGAATTGGGCGCAGCTCAGTTACAACTGGGTTTGCTGTGTGCTTTCCTCCATTTTAAGGATTCTTCTTAAAGGATGAGAGTTACGGCGGTCTCGAGAGAGAGAGAATTCTTTGGGGTGTTAGATTAAAGTGGTGGAAAGCTTAATTGATGGTCTTCCCAGTTGCATATAAGATGTATACACCCATCAGAGCATGGAAGAGTTACTTTTTTTTTAATACAACGTCCGGAATCCCCTAGACAGTATGGTCCTCTACTAGATGGGGGATTTGTCATTAAAAAAAAATCCAAGCGCTGGATGAAAAGCGCATTCTTGGTGCACGCCATGAGACAAACTGCCTTATCAGAGCGCTGGATGAAAAGCGCATTCTTGGTGCATGCCATGAGACAAACTGCCTTATCAGACGGCCACACTGCAAGGCTCAGGGTAGGACTGTACCAGCGTAGGATTGCAGGGGGCTGATTTCTCATTGAAAGAGAACTTCCTGGACGGGGGATATAAGTGTGTTAGAAAAGCAGGCTGAGTTTGAATCTTTCTCCTTCTCTAGTTGGATGTCCTGGTTCTGAAAGTTGGACGTCCTGGTTCTGCTGATCGTACCCTTCTGCTCCATCAAGATCACCCACGACTGTGTTTTGCTTTAATTTGTGTTTAAAAATTCCCTTCTCTTTGCCAGATATTACGGTGGCACCGAGTTTGTGGATGAACTGGAGCGTTTGTGTCAAAAGAGAGCGCTCCAGGCTTATGGGCTGGACCCACAGAAGTGGGGCGTCAACGTCCAACCGTACTCAGGTAGCCTTAGCACTATCCTTCACTGGGCATCATGGCATCATGGGTGGTCATGGCTCAACCGGGCAAGCTGTTGATCTTTTCGAATGCATGCTCCTTGGGGCAGGCAGTTGGATCTTTTTGTACCACGAACGTGGCTGGTGCCGTAGAATAAATCAACAAAGGGAAGTGTACTGTTCTCGCAAACTTGCTGCTGGGGGCCGCTGGGCCTGATCCAGCCTTCTGCTTCTGTTCCAGGGTCCCCTGCAAATTTTGCTGTCTACACCGCCTTGGTGGAGCCTCATGGAAGAATTATGGGCTTGGATCTGCCCGACGGCGGTCACCTGACCCACGGTTTCATGACGGACAAGAAAAAAATCTCGGCCACTTCGATCTTTTTTGAGTCCATGCCCTACAAGGTGAGCCGAATTCCATGCCATGAGATCGGGGTCGGACCGTAAGCCAGAAGCAGCTTTAACTGGGACATATTATGGATCGTGGCTTGCTTTTCTTCTCTCTTGTTTTGTTATAGTTCTTTTGTTTAATAGCATTTGAAAAGTTTAAAAAAAGAGGTGCATGACACCCATAAAAGACTAAAATATCTCTTGGATTTTATAATACCACACACTTTTTTTCTTTTGCTGCAGTGGAGGTAGCATGCCTGGCCATTGGAAATGGCGATGGCCAAAGCGTTTGAGGGCTTTGAAATTGCTCCAAAGCGAATTTAGTGATTTTTGCCCCACCCTAAAACCTGCTGATAGGGCGCGGGTTGGAAAGATTTCCGTAGATGTGTTGTTGTTGTTGTTTTAAAGATAATTGTAGAATTTGGCAATACTTTGACTGAGCCTCGAAAATAATTTAAAATAAGAAAAAAAAATCAAAAGTAAATATTGACTCTTTCATTGCACAAGATGCTGTAAAACATGAGAAGGGAAAAGCGGAAAAGTGCAGAATATGTTCTGACAGGATGCTATAGCCATGGGGAACAGAAGATCATGCAAGCCTGCCTCTCTGGAAAACTGGACTTCCAAGAGACAACGGTGCAACAGTTGCACCCTGCAGTTCTGCACTGAACATGGGGTTGGAATAGATGACCTCCAGGGACCCTTTCAGACTAATGTTATGTAATTCCGAGGGATTGCTTTGAAGTGTTCCAACCGCCACTGCCCAGGAAGGGGTGCGTGTCTTTGCCGTTGACATTTCTTAGCCCCGTGTGCTGACAGCTGATTCAGCATGTGACCCTCTAATGAGAAAAGCGATGCAAAGATCATGGGATGTCTTTTATAGACAGAAGCCACCAAATCCAGCACTGGTGCTGGAGGAGAGAGAGGCTTTAACCCCTATGTGCTCAAACTCCAGCGCCTCCTGAAATACGTTACAGATAACTCTCAGACAGCTATGCTGGTAGGTGGGTGGGGGAATAAGGTTAAAGGCTGTATCACATAAAAGCAGCTTTTATTGTTTCCCTTCTCTGTCCACTGGGCTAAAATCACTGTTTCTGTTGAGTTTTTTCTTTCTTTCTTGATCTTTTCTCTTCCCCCCCCTCACCGGTAGGTCAACCCACAGACCGGTTACATTGATTATGACCGGCTAGAGGAAAACGCCCGTTTGTTCCATCCGAAACTGATCATTGCAGGTAATAAATACGTGATGCCAGACACGGCAAGGGCGTGAGAGATCCTCTCCCTGAAGAATTAATTTTCCGGAATTATTTGCTGGAAGGTTAGAAGCCTATCTTTCGGGTGCTGCTCCAGAGTTTGGAAGTAACCCATTACAAGCAATATAGTTGGATGAGTTAACCCCTCGGTAATGGGCATAAACAAAATTAATTCTTAAAGACACCGTGGAAATGAAATTACCCTGTTAGGGTAACAAGGAATCTTGTTACTTTTTAAGGATGCGTTTGAAGGGATTTTTACTAGATTTTTGGAAGTCTGCTGCTGATTGATTGCTGTCAATCCCATGATTTTTTTAAAGTGAAAAACACCCAAGCCACTCAACATCCTGTAATGGTATGATCTGTAATCCTTGTAGAGTGTAATATTAGCCTATTACTTCTTAAACATGAACACAAGTAATAGGAACAAATCATCTTTAAAAAGGAACTTTTCTCAGCGTTGGTTATTTTGGAAGCTGGGCATTTCCCCCTTCCTGGACTTTCCTGGGTTTCATTTTAAAAGCATGGGCTAACAGCCAGTTGGGTTTAAAAACTGGTGTTTCAAAACTGTATTGATTGCTCTTTTTTTTCTTTTCCTCCGCCAGGCGTCAGCTGCTACTCACGGAACCTGGACTACGCCCGCATGAGGAAGATCGCAGACGAGAACGGGGCATACCTGTTGGCCGACATGGCCCACATCAGTGGCCTCGTGGCCGCTGGCGTGGTGCCCTCGCCCTTCGAACACTGTGATGTGGTCTCCACCACCACCCACAAAACTCTGCGGGGTTGCCGAGCCGGCATGATCTTCTACCGAAAAGGTGAGAGGGCCTTCCTTGCGGTCGTGAAACGAAGACCAGACATTTCCCGACTTGAGGGTCAGGGGCATTAAGAGGAGGAATAGGCAGTCTGAAAGTCTGCAGGTGTTCTGGACGACGACTCCCACCTGCCAGCTTAAGGTGGCAGACCACAGCTCAGAAGAGACTCCAGGGCTGAGTTCGAATCACCATCAGGACTGACCATCAAGTTGCGCTGGTCACTCAAGTTTTTTTTCTTCATTGACTTAGACTTGACTTGCGACTCACAACCCACCCGCCTTCTCTTTTTCCCTGGGGGGGGGGAAGCTTGATTTTAATAGGGGCTCAGAATCGGGACTTGGTATCAACTGGGGGGAAAAAGCTTGCTTTTAATAGGGGCCCAGAGTCAGGACTTGGTATCAGAGACTTGAACTCGGACCCAAAGACTTGCAAACATCCCTGCATCACAGGATGATCTTGGGGCAGCCAGAACCTACCTCACAGGGTCGTCGCCAGCGGAACAATGGGAAAGGGGCCGCGTCTGCTGCCTTCCTCTTTGGGGAAAAAGATCCCGTAACAATGGAACAAGTGAATGATAACTTCTCCTTTCTTGTTATCTTAAGGCGTCCGCAGTGTAGACCCCAAAACAGGAAAGGAAACCCTGTACAACTTGGAAAGCCTGATCAACCAAGCGGTCTTTCCTGGTCTTCAAGGCGGCCCCCACAACCACGCCATTGCCGGTGAGCTGGTCACGGGAAAGGCTCTTTATTTCATATCCCAGCCGCTCGGGGTACAGGCTTTGTGGCAAAGAGGCTTTGCGAGATGTCCACGTACAGAGTTTGGAACAAATTCATTCAGAACGTCTTTGTTCCACTTGTTAAACCGTCTTTTAAAAAGCATTATAACGGCCGAAAGAGGTGGGGGCAACTGTTATTTCGACGTATTTCCCGGGTGGGGTGGGGGCAGTGTTGATTCTTTTGCATAAATTTAACTGTGCATTCCTTTATATTTAAAACTAACTTTAACTGTGTGTTCCTCTAAATTTAAAACGAACGGGTTACTAATGTCTCCTTCACAATCAGTGCAAGGAATTGTTATTGTAATCTCCGTCACTACTGTCAATGATGTTGAATTAACGAGTGGATTAATGTTAATGGGAGTGAATTAGGTTTAACGTCAACATTCCCAAGCTCCAATCCATGTGTCTTCCTGTTCTCATCCTTTTAAAGATCCATGTTCTCTAGTTTGGGTGGGACATCAGTTCTTCCGGACTTTAACTTATTTCCCATTTTCTCTTTTGATTTATTTTTTGGGGGGTGGGCAGGAATTGCTGTATCTCTGAAGCAAGCCATGACGCCAGAATTCAAAGCTTACCAGACACAGGTCTTGGCCAACTGCAAAGCTCTCTCCAAAGCCCTTGTCGATTTGGGATACCATATTGTGACCGGTGAGAAGCCATTCCAACACAACTCCGGCTTTTAGCTAGATTTGCTTCTGCATCTTGACTGCTGATGGAGGGGTGTAAAGAAGAAGAAGAAAAAAGAACCAGGGTTCAGAAAAGTTGCTTTTCTGGACTATAGCTCCTTGTCTCCGCTAGCTAGCTGTCGGGAATCTTTGTTACACTCGGTTTGGCTACTGCAGGAAACTGGCCGATCCAAGGCCGTGCCTTCTGGCTAGTTAATCCTCTCTGCTTTAGAGAATGGCCTTCAGCCATCAAGGGCTATTTACGATGGGACTTTTCCCGAATGTTTAGAGGACTCCTTGGTAGCCCTTGCAAAAATAATGTTCTAATGTTCCAATGTTCTAATGGGTCCCAGGGGCCAGTAAAAAAAAAAAATACATGGGTTCTAAGACCTGCCACAGCACTTCTGCAGCAACCAGAGGTGCAGTGGTAAATTTGGGCATCCAGAAGAGCTCCCACAGCTTGCACACCTACTGTCTGGAGAGTCCAGAAAGGCAGGCCCCTGGATCTGTCCCTCTCAGCAAATGAAGGGCAGGTGTTTTGTAAAGCTAATGGCTCTTGACTGTTCCTTTAAGACCAAACCACCCTCAGATATTCTGCATGGTCACCAGGACAGCTCTCAACAATAGGCTGGTCTTGGAAAAACCTGCTTCCTTCCCCAGCTTCTGTGAGGGTTTGCAGTGCAGCTCAGAGGGAACGGAGATGCCTGGGGGGTGGCGGGGAGAGGACGAAGCCTCCTTGCTCCTTGGAAAGTTGCACAGATTCAGCAGGGAGCCCCTGCTCCCTCCACGTGTCTAGCTTGGGTGGATGGTGGGAAATCACACTAGCATTTGTGCTTTAAGGATATAGTCCGGGCATCTCAGAAGTAAGAACATACCTTAGCCTTTTCTGCCAGAAGACTATCTATGGCGGTTGGGTCCCGTGACCTCTGGGAGCATCGCTCTTTGCAATCACTGTTGCCTTTATGCTTTGCATTCCTCGTTGTTTTGTTAGCCGCTTCTGATTTTCTTTTGGGAACGAGAAGCAGGTCTTCTCTAGATGTCTTTTGGCTCAGAGTCTAGCCAGGGCAAGAATCAGAAAGCGGTTGAGTTGCAGAGACCCTGAAGGTCATCTAGCTGGCACAAGAAGAAAAACCCATTTTGTTTGGCTTCTCGCAGGCGGCTCGGACAATCATCTGATCCTGGTGGACGTCTGCAGCCAAGGCACCGACGGCGGGCGAGCTGAGTGGGTCCTGGAGCTTTGCTCCATCACGTACAACAAGAACACCTGCCCAGGTAAGGCCAGGCAGGGGGTGCACGTAGCCCAGCACACACAGGGTGGGGGTGGGGATATATATTGTATAGCATATTCTTTTCTTTTAAAATCCGTAAGTCGCTCCGAGTAAGTGGGAACGTAGCGTCGTCCAAAGATCGGTGGCTGGCTTTCTATTCATTCCCTGTGGCCTGAATCAGCTTCCTCTCTTCTTTTGCTAGGTGACAAAAGCGCTTTGCGTCCGAGCGGACTGAGGTTAGGGACGCCGGCTCTGACCTCCAGGGGTTTCTTGGAAGAGGACTTCCGAAAAGTGGCTCACTTTATTCACAGAGGTAGGACAGACATGGGGTCGATACGAACATTGGGCATCCCCACCAGCTTCCCAGAATAATGGCAAAAAACTACATATAACGTAGTCGATCTTTCTCTCTTTCTCTCTACCAGAGAGGGTGGCCCCCTATATAATATGATTTTGAAAGTCCATTGCATTAAAAATTGAAATAAATTAAGATTAACAATGACCCTATTCAAGCTTTGCTTTATTGCAGAGGGATCCTGTAATAAAGAACTTATTTCTGAAAGAACCCACAAGCTTGCATATTTTATAGTTAACAGCTGTTCCTAATAAATATATTGCCCGCCTGTGTTCTGTGGTGATTAAGGGGTGGGGAAGGTTTGCCCTGCCAGATGTTTTTGGACTACAAGTCCCACCAGCCCTAGCCAGCTGTGAGGAACGATGGGAATTGTAGCCTCGCCACCCCAGAGGGTTCTATGTGGTCCCCCCAAGACCACAGAGAACCACCCGTTGCTTTGAGAAACGTAAAAATACCTTCATTTGTCATGAAATGAGAACAGGCAGGGTGGAAGCTGCTGGGTTCCATCAGGCGAGGGCCCCTCTTTACTTTGTACAGCGGCTTGGGTGGTAAAAAGATTCTCTGCTGGCGAATGGATGCCTTTTAATCCCGTCGGATGCATATGTTTGCTTGTAACAGGCGTTGAGCTCACCTTGCGGGTCCAGAACGACATGAGCCCCAAAGCGACGTTGAAAGAGTTCAAAGAGAAGCTGGAGAAGGACGAGACGTACCGAGACCCACTGACGGCGCTCAAGGAGGAAGTGGAAGCCTTTGCCGGCGGCTTCCCCCTGCCGGGCTTGCCGGTTCTGTAACGGAACGCTGCAGAACCGGAGCCCAACCCAAGCGGAAGGGCGAGGAAGAAGACCCAGAGAAATGCCCAGTTCCTCCGAGGTGGCTTTGAAGCTTCGCTGGGTTCCTGTTTTAACCAGGCTGCCCTTGTGCAGGCTGGATGGAGGAGGGATGGATAAAAGCTAATGCTCCAAATATATACTATGCTTTCCCCTTTGCTCCTATTGTCTCTGTAGAAATGTCGTGGACGTACAGGGAAATATGAGAAACTTAACATGCAGCCATGAAGTAGCTGGAGAGTCAAAAGGGCAGCCAGCCCAGTCCACTTGGAGAAGGACACGATTAGTAGTGGGGAGAAGAGCAAGAGGGAGGGGGCAGAGGGTTTTGCTCCCGAAAGTACCCCGGGCTGTGTGTATCTGTGTTGCCATTTCAAGGGGAAAGTACAGTATCTGGTCACCGATGCAGATCTTGTGGTCTGTTTGCCTATGGCAGCAAATTCAAGGGTGAAGTGCAGTGACGTCGGCATCGCCCCCCTTTGAGCTTCTCACTTTCCGAAGTACTCCAGGATGGTGGGGGTGGGGGGAATCTGTAAGCAAGTCTTAACAGGGAAAGGTCTCCCACCCTTTCTTTACTACTGAAGCTCGCTGCAAATGTTAAAGCTGCCTTTCATTTAATCAGCGCGGCTACGGGAAGGGTGGGGGTGGGGGGAATCTGTAAGCAAGTCTTAACAGGGAAAGGTCTCCCACCCTTACTTTACTACTGAAGCTCGCTGCAAATGTTAAAGCTGCCTTTCATTTAATCAGCGTGGCTACGGGACAATTTCCCAAACTCCCAATGCAGGCTTGGCGGATTCTGGGAATTTTGAGTCTTAAAATTGTAGCTTTCCAAAGCTCAGCCCATAACCAGCATAGGCTGGGAGCTCCCCATTGACCCCACTTTCGAGTTCCACCCGGTCGGGTATCAATCCCTGGCTCCTTCGCTCTTGCTAACATTAGTTAGGGAATGAATATTTCCTCGCAAAGCTACAGTTCCCCACGTTCGGCTTTCAACCAGGGTCTAAAACTGGTTCGCACAAGGAAGAGTCATGCACAAGTTTGCAGAATCCTTCCCATCTGCTAACCACAGATTCGTTCCCTCTGGTGGAGCAGAGGAGAGAACAAGGCTTATTTCTCTTCCTCCTAAAAACCAATACACCATCTTTTAAAAGCAGGATGTTTTAGACTGAGTAACCACCTGGCTGCGTAAGTCACACACAGAGGTGTTGCATGGATTTTGACTGGGCAACTTCAGCAAGTTCGGGAGAACTGAAAAAGGCAGGATGCAGAGAGGGGAGGTGGTGCTTCCACACCACAGCACACAACGGGCACAGGGGTTAAGGCAGCCGAGAGAGAGGACACAGGCCAGGCTGTTCCAGCTACACTTCCACAAGACTCTGCACAAGGCTGAACTACATGTTACTTTTCCTGCTGCCCGCACAGCGCCAGCCGATGCCCCTTCCATCTCTCTCCGTACCACCGCAGCTTTTCCCGACCTGCAAATGGGGTTAAGACCACAGTTCCCATGATCCTCAACCAGCACACCTGGGGATTTACGGTAGATGCAGTCCCTCACTCAGGAAAGTGCCAATTTCGGAAAGCTGCACCACTGTCGGGACAAAGCTCCAAAGCGACTGCCACACCAGACATTTCGGTGTATTTGGGAGTGTGGCTGGCGCTGAGGGCCTTGCCAGCTGGAAATGCAGCTTGGAGGGAAAAGACGGCGAGAATATGAGATGCAGAAAAACAGCTGTTTGGGCAATGCAGCCCTGCTCTGAGATCCAACACCATCTTTTTAAGAACGAATCAATCAGATCCCTTTCTCCACTCAGCCCAAAATCATCCCGCAGAAGAAAAGCAATTAAGAGGAGAATCGTTGCCTTTGTGCCCTCTGTATTTTCCAGGACAAGAGATTCTGCAATAGCTTCAACTTCAATAGCAGAAGTTGCCCAGGTGGCTTCCTCTGTCTGTTAAGTAACACAAACAAGATCCAGGGTGGCCATAACGCAGAGAACGCTCCCTTGCTCCCCTCTTGAGATGAAGCAGCCCTGGGACTGGAGGTGACCAGAGAGCTGGTTGGTAATATTCCTTTTTCCAGAATGCTCTTCTCCCCCCCCCCAAAAAAAACCCTAGCCAGCATGCCCCATTGGCCACGTACTCTGGGAATGGCGGTCCTGAAAAGGAAATTTTCTCCAGTTCTGGGTGTGAGTGAGGCCCTAGCCAGCCATACGAAACCCAGTCATTTTCTCTCTTATTAAACAGCAAAGTGCTTTCATAGGGACGGACATGGTGTGAGCGTTCTCTTAGGGAACTCAGAAAGTGCAGTACAGCAAAAGCACCTCCCTTGAGAAGAGGATGCTTTTATTTTAGATATATTTATGTATATATATTGTATATATATATATATATACACACACACAATAGTGCAGCTTATACATCAAGTTTTCCCAAATTCTTCAAACACCAAAGCTGATACATAACACTTGAAAGCTTCCTGGATCAGAAACTTTACATTGGGTTCTGGCACACTTCTTTTCCAAGATCACACAGAACAGAGGTTTTAAGAATAATGCATATTGATCCAGTTTCTCTGCCTTTGCACGATCAGCCTTCCGGCACAAGGAAAAAAAGCTATTAAAAAAAAAGGGGGGGTGTGGAGAATAAAACTGGTAAGGCCTTTCTCTACTCTTCTAGGTTGCAGCCAGAGAGGCTGTTTTGATATTCAGCTGCAATTAATCCACAACCAAGAGGGAGACTTGTCTTACAGATGATCTCAAGTTTTCACAGGGTAAAAGAAGGAAAGGGGCTGAACCCAAGCATTCTATCGAACTTTGCTGGAACTCCGAAGATTTGTACAAGGCCAAACAGCATCTAGCGCAGCCTGGGAGGAATCCGAAACAAAAAAATTCCCCCTACGGTCTGGTTGGATACAGCAGAGGTAGTCAAACTACTGGAAATTCTTGGGTGTTGAAACAAACAGACAGAAACAGCCATGGAAGCCGACTGCGCCAAAATGGAGGGCGAGCAGAACTCTGCAGCAAACCAAAACCCACGCACGGGAAAGCAGTCCAGGAAGCAGTGTGTGTATATGCGTGTGCGAATCCAGTACATTCATTCCTCATTACCCCTGAGTGCAAAGAATTAAGGACACAGGGCAATTATTTTTTCCCTACCTGCTGCCTTTACTTGCTCTCCAAGAATCTGGGTTTCCTTCCTGCTGTGGGAGGAGTGCGCAAGATGTAGCAGAATTTTGGGCTGCCCGACAGTCACACCAGCAAGGCCTCTTTGTGCTTTCAAACATCTGGAGGTCCTCTGTCCGTCAAGTCTATGACAGGAAGGTGTCCCTCCGGTTTCCACGTCCTATCTCCTTACGCTCTGCCTCTGCTCTCTAGGGGTGCAAGCTTCAGGAGGCATTACAACACTCAGTGACACGTCAAAGGGGGCTTCTGCAAGGATTCTGCTCTGATCGGTGGCTGAAAGCACAACCGCTTTGCTTTGGGGTACATGGGGAATAAACTGTGTTTTGCACACCCCCTCCATACATGGTTATGCTGACTACACTTCTGAAAGATTCTGCAGCTTGTTTCAGGTTTTTAAAAAGCTTAACACTCTGGGAGACAGACTGCTAAGCAGGTTTCCCCCTGCCGTACAGCTCGCCACTTGGTCAAAGCAGTCCACTCCCCCCACACACACACACACTTTGAACACCCATATAAAATTTGGCAGTGTCCCTCCTTAAAAAGGTACAGCCGAGTTATTCTGAAACGTTATTTTAATGAGGTTTGTGTGTCCCCACCGCAGCAATCCCATGTCAAGAACAAGCACGTTGGCCATGGAATCGGGTGGGCCTGTGGACAGCTGCAGGAGAACACGTGTGATGGCGAGGGTGCCGGTGCGTGGGAGGCAAGATCTGCAAGCTGGATGCCGATTAAATTTTGTACAAAGCGCTGGGCACGTAATCAAACCTGAGGACTGGGCTAACCCCCCGGATGGAATCCTGAAGGAAATGCAGTTTTAGGAGCTCGGCCAGATACTGGACCACTCGGCTGTCCTCGTTGGCCAGCCCCAGCTGGATTTTGAGGAAGTTTTGCCGCCGAGACGCCACGGACGCCTCTGTCTCCTCCTTGCGGATGGGGAGATGCAGGTGATGGCAGAAGGTGTAGAGGAAGGCCTTGGAGCACAGCTGGGTGAGGATGGTTTGGACGTGCATGTAGTAGGTGCTGCCCCGCTTGATCTGCGTGCGGTGGTCGGCCAGGCGGGGAATCAGGGTCCCTTTGTACTGCGGGCAGCGGAGGGTCTTGCTGTCCGCGTCCAGGACACTGACGTAACGGCTGTAGCGGCTGAGAGAATGCATCATGCCGATGCCGGCAGGAGAAGACGATCTGGGGAGGAAAGGGGGAAAGCAAGGTGAAACTCTTGAGGCAGTCTGCTCTCCTTGTGCAAAACCATTGCAGGGAAGTTGTGCATGGAAAAATACCTGTGTAACCATGACACGGCCAAGGAGAATCAACTGCTAAGGCTCCTATTTTGCTGCCCCACTGGGTGTACCAGAGCTGCATAGATGCAGTGGGCAATTTACTATACTTAACCCTCACCGTCTCGCCACTCACCACCTGATGTTCAGCTGGGTGCTGCCTTCGAACACAGAGGGTTCATACACATTCAAAAGAGCCACTTCCACCTCCACAAATCCATCTAAAGGCAACGCCCCTCCCTTATTATGTGTCTCAAGCACTGGGTGTTCGGGGATAAGACTGCCTCTGATCCAGGAGGTTTCATTTAGCCAAGGGAGCAGCAAAGGAGGCCCCAACTCAAGTTCTAGTATTATGACATTTGAAAAAAGGTTTTGTCTTTAATATACTAGTAGGCAAATCAGTCCATCAAGCTCCTGGGGACGTTTCCTACCTCCTTGGACCTGATGCAGGAAGTACCAGGGCCTCTCCCCCTTGTTGTGTTTACTCTGAGGAAAGGTGACTCTCTCCACCCCCACGAAAAATAAGTTGCAGAGCTACGTATCTTGTTTTAGAAGAGAAACACACCCACCCGAAGATGTCTTTCCCTCGTTTTTGGCCCAAAAGAAGGGGAGGCAATAGAAGGATTTGCAAAGACAGACTGGGGGGGGGCAACATGTAATCCATGTGACACCCCCCACACTCCTATTCTAACCATTCCACACACTGTATAAGGACAAGACTTGGATGGGCTGGTTTTCTGTTTTGTTTACCTCTGCAATCCAATGAGCTTCCACTTCTGAAAGTCTGTGACGTGCAAAGGGGACGTGGACCACTGTTTCACTGGCTTGGCGTACGCCCCGACATTGGGGACAAAAATGGACAGAGCGGTGACCAGTTTCTCCACGATGGCTTTCTCTTCCCCCAACACGACCAGCGTCCGGCCGCTCAGCAGAGAATAGATGGCCGGGTGAGCGAAAGGGTACTGCCGGATGAACCGCAGGGCGTTCTGGCTGGCTTTCTTCTTGTGCCTCTCCCCAAGCGGACCGCCGAGAGGAGACGGGGAGGGGGTCCGGTCCGAGCTAGTGGACGCCGTGCTGCTGATGTGGCTGGTGGAGTCAGAGCACTTGTCGAGGCTCATTTTACTTGCCTCTCGGGTGCTCGAGAGATAATGGGGATCCAGCTCGTAGCCGAGGAGCCCCCCCGAGCCGCCATCCTGGGAAGAATAGTCCGTAAAGTTCACATGAGGCCCCTGATCTCCTGGCCTGTAGGGCTGGGGCGGGATGCTGACCACGCCGTCCTCGTCGCAATGTTTCAGGGCCAAGTCGGTCTGGGGTTCGAGGAAGTTGGGACTTTCCTTCCCAATGCAACAGGTGGAGTCCACAGGGAGCAGGTTTTCCGGCTTGGGACTGCCTTCCATCTCTTCAGCCCCATCCAAGTTTGAAACAGGGCTGAAGCGAAGGCCTTCCTCGTCATCGTCTGCATAAGGTTCTTCGTTAATGGCACTTGGGTAGCTCGCTCGGAAGTCGTCCGGAATGAGAGCCTCTGAGGGGCAGGTGCTCAGCACCTCGATGCTGTCCTCGCTGACGGTTCTCCGACTCACCGCTTTGTTCCGTGCGAGCTGGGGGCTCAGGTGAGTTTGGGGCAAGTGAGCCTGGCTTTCAGGCTGAGTCCCAGCAGCAGCGGACTTCTCTGTCCCCAACACTTCGATGCTTTCACCGCTGCTGACGCTCCCTTTCAGATCGGCGCCGAGATATTCCACGTTGTCCTGATGGTCATAAGGAATGGCATATGCGTCTTCCGTTTCTTGGGCGTCTTCCCTTTCCTGATCCATCTTAATAGGTACACTCTCGACGCTGGATTTGTAAGACCCCAAACCGGCCAACGTTTTAGCAACAGGACAAACATCCAAACCTTTGTCGCTGGGGTTGTCCAGGTGAGACTCCTGGTAGCCATTCAACGGCCTCTCCGCCTGTCTTTCGTCGGCTGGGAATAACTCTTCGAAAAGGAAATTAGTAATTGTTTGCTGTTTCAAAAGGGCCTGGCTGATCTGATCAGTCAAGAGGTAGCAAACGTCCCCTCTGAACATCTTCTCAATTTGATGTAACTGATCTAGGGTTTGGGTGAAAAAATAAAGGTCGCACAGCTCCTGAAGCGTTTTGAGCTTCTTGTCAAAGCACTTGGCAGGTTTTGCCTTGATCAGCTTCGGGGTGTAAGAGGACCGTTGAGGGTAAAACTGCGTTTCACTGGGCTCATCCGGTTTCAAGGTAGTAATTCCTTCCTCTGGGTCATCCTCGGCTTGTTCCATTGCACAGTCCGGCTCATAAGGATGAAATTCTGATTCTTTCAACTTACTGTAAGGATACGATCGAATTTGTTTCAGGAGATCTTGATGTTCAATGATAAGTTTTTCAACACTGGCCAGTTCGTTAGCTTTCTCAATGGCTTGCGTGGTGTAGTACCCTTTCTCGTTGTTTTTCTTTTGGATCTCGGTCTCGTTGTGCAACACCGTCCGAGTGTAATCGAGGTCCTTGAGCTTTTTTTCCAGTTCGCCGGCAAAAGCTTTCCGATTCCCTGTCTTTAAGCACTCCGATGCTTTTGAGAACTCTACGGAGAGGCCCTGAAACATCTGCATAATTTTGTGCTCGTCGGCGGAAATGTAGGCCATGCAGAAAGGCCTGACGAAGCCTCTCGCTTCGAGGTCGTAAAGGGTCAAGTGGTGGACGTAGGCAAAAGCTCCTTCTTTGGAGTCGCCCAGCACGACTTTAGAATCCTCCACAAAGTTCAGCTTCGGGTAGGGGCAGCCGGGAGGGTGGCCCACAAACGAAGCCTGATAGTCCACCGACATGATGCGGAGGGAGAAGTAGTTGAGATCGAAGGTGCCGCAGACTTTGGCGTCGTCCGGGATGGTGAGCAGAGGCTGGGGCCCCACTTGCTCCGAGAATTCGGAGATGAGGATGAAGTCCCGCGTGAACTTGGCGCCGGACAGCTTCGACCAGGGGTTGGCCCCTTGGCTGGCGAACGGGAAGAGGGGCACGGAGTATTCCTCGGGCAAGGCCGGCTCGGGGCGGTAGGCCTCCTCATCGTAGTCATCCTCTTTGGTAAAGGCCACCACGTCCGGGGCGCTGATCATCTTTCCAGGCGGGGGCGGCGGCAGAGCGGCATGGGAGGAAAACAGGATCCTGGCCCACTGGGGCTCAGCTGGAGTCCATGGAGGAGGGGGCACCGGAGCGAAGGAGCCGAGGGCCTCTCCACCCCTTGGTCTGGTGGGGAGGGGGGTCTTCCCCCCAAAAAACCCTATGGCACTTTCCTCCTGATGGAGCCCCCTTGGCCTCCTAATCTGGGGACGGAGGGTGTCCCTCTCCTCACCCCCCCCCAGAGGGAGCCCTTCCCTGTCACCTCGCCTCAACTCTCCTGTTGTGGGGAGGCAGGCCCTTGGCCCACACCTGAGGGAGAGGGCCTCGATCCCCCTTTCGCCTAGGAGGGCCCGGGGGGGGGAGAGATTATTGATAGCCAACACAACATTGACCCCTGAATTAGGTCAGCTGGAAGGGAAAAGTCATTCTATGCATGAGCCGCCCCCCAGCAATCACTCCGCCAGGAAACCCGGTGGGCGCTAGGACCGGCCCGAGCCCCCACCCTAAGGCCAGGTTCCGCCTGGCGCCTCTTAACACCAACCGCCAGTTCCCTCTTCCAGACGCAGCCGCCGCCGCCTGGCAGCCATCTTGGAATCACATGACCCATTATGACCTCCTTCTCTCCCCCTTTGACCCCGGAAGCGGTACCGCCTTCGCCTCTAACGACCCTTAGTTTTCCCCTCACACGTTATTTCCCCCCCTTCAGT